TTTGATTCCACACACTGTCAACATCTTTCTAAAGTCTGTCCAACGAATTGTCTGCCAGTATATCTAACCACCTCTAGGGGGTATCCAAAGTGTGCGAAGATGTTCAACATCTGCTGACAGTGTACTTGAAGATATGCCAGATGTGACAACAGCTTCTGGGTAAGAGGAGTAAAAGTCAATTACGGTAGGTATGTATTAATTATGGATCGGCCCCACTACTGTAAGTCAATACCTAGTTAACTCCAGGGTCTTGTGACAGTTCAAGTGGTTGGCCTTCATTCAGTGACTGGTTTATCACACATGCTGTACAATTTCTGATCAGTCTTTCAACATCTAAGTCCATGTTAGGCCAATAGAATTAGCTTCTTAGGTACTGTTTTGTACGAACCACTCCTTGATGAGTTTCGTGTGCAATTTTCAAGGCTTGCTTGATCTCTGTTTTTGTGTCCTCTTAGAATAAGTCCATCATGTGTTGATAACTCCATTGAGCATCTGTTGTATGGCTGTAAATCCTTTTGAATTGGATCTGCCCATTTTTCTGTTTCCACAGTTTGAATCAACTTTGTCAAGGTTTTATCCTGTTTTGTTGCTTCTTTCAGATCCTCGATTGTCATTGCAGGTATGTCGCGTGTGCTAACTGAAAGCACTCTCTGCACATAATCGTCAACGTATCCATTTTCTTCAGTTTCAGGTAAGGAAAGTTGAGATACGATTGTTTTTCCCGCGATTTCCCAACTCTTTGAATTCTCTGTGACCACAGCATCGACTTCTCAGGCTTGAACAGTGGTTTGTGATCAGTTTGTAGTACAAACTTGCCTCCAAATAGAACAGTTTTGAAGTGTTCTACTGCCCACACGCATCCAAGAGCTTCTCGCTCGATCTGAGAGTATCTCAGTGAACGACTTGCATAAGCGATTGGCTAGTTCTGTCCATTTTTCGGTTGCTGTAGCAATATAGCTCCAAGTCCTACTGGGCTTGTGTCACTAATCACTACTGTTGGTACATCTAGTTTGAAGTATGCTAGACATGGTTCACTAGTCAGGGCTTTTTTCATTTCTCTAAATGATTTCTCTGTTTTGGATGTCCATTCCCACTCTTGTCCTTTTCTGATCAGTTTCCGTAGTGATTCTGAGAGGTTTGCGTAGTTTGGTATGAATTTCATGAGAAATCCACGTCCCCAGGAATGATCGTAGTTCTCCTGCATTCTCTGGTCTTGTTGCTTTTCCAACGGCCTCAACTTTCTTTGGGTCTTGTTTTATCCCTTCTGCCGTGACTACGTGTCCAAGGATTTCAATCTGCTTTAGTCCAAAGATGCATTTTTCCATGTTAAGTGTCAGTCCTCTGTCTTGGAATCTTTGGAAGACTTTCTTCAGTCTCTGTTCCAGTTCACTTTCGCTTTTAGCAAACTACACCTTGTAATCCACATAGCATAAAGTCCATGGCTTTCTGGTAGGCCTCAGGTGCGCTTGATAATCCGAAAGGAACTTTCTTGAATCTGTAGCATCCTCTGTGTGTGATGAATGTTATCAGGTTTGTTGATTCTGAGGCTAGTTCAACTTCCCAAAATCCTTTTCTCGCTTCCAGTTTTGCAAACACTTTCGCTCCTTACATTGCTTGCAGTATACTGTCTACTGTGGGAACTGGGTGTCGTTCTCGTATGACAGCTTTGTTTGGTTCTCGTAAGTCATCACAAACTGTGACTTCTTTTTTGTCTTTCTTTGGAATGAGGAGAATATTGGAAATCCATTCTGATCCTTCATTCACTTCTTCAATGAAGGATGAAGGACTTCTTCTTTAAGAGGCTCCTCTGTCCTCCACTCGTTACCTGTATAAATGGCACCTGTTTGAACTTGTTATCAGTATAAAAGACACCTGTCCACAACCTCAAACTTCAAACCCCAGGCTCACGCCAAACTCCACTATGGCCAAGACCAAAGAGCTGTCAAAGGACACCAGAAACAAAATTGCAGACCTGCACCAGGCTGGGAAGACTGAATCTGCAATAGGTAAGCAGCTTGGTTTGAAGAAATCAACTGTGGGAGCAATTATTAGGAAATGGAAGACATACAAGACCACTGATAATCTCCCTCGATCTGGGGCTCCACGCAAGATCTCACCCCGTGGGGTCAAAATGATCACAAGAACGGTGAGCAAAAATCCCAGAACCACATGGGGGGACCTAGTGAATGACCAGCAGAGAGCTGGGACCAAAGTAACAAAGCCTATCATCAGTAACACACTACGCCGCCAGGGACTCAAATCCTGCAGTGCCAGATGTGTCCCCCTGCTTAAGCCAGTACATGTCCAGGCCCGTCTGAAGTTTGCTAGAGTGCATTTGGATGATCCAGAAGAGGATTGGGAGAATGTCATATGGTCAGATGAAACCAAAATAGAACTTTTTGGTAAAAACTCAACTCGTCGTGTTTGGAGGACAAATAATGTTGAGTTGCATCCAAAGAACACCATACCTACTGTGAAGCATGGGGGTGAAAACATCATGCTTTGGGGCTATTTTTCTGCAAAGGGACCAGGACGACTGATCCGTGTAAAGGAAAGAATGAATGGGGCCATGTATCGTGAGATTTTGAGTGAAAACCTCCTTCCATCAGCAAGGGCATTGAAGATGAAACGTGGCTGGGTCTTTCAGCATGACAATGATCCCAAACACACCGCCAGGGCAACGAAGGAGTGGCTTCGTAAGAAGCATTTCAAGGTCCTGGAGTGGCCTAGCCAGTCTCCAGATTTCAACCCCATAGAAAATCTTTGGAGGGAGTTGAAAGTCTGTGTTGCCCAGCGACAGCCCCAAAACATCACTGCTCTAGAGGAGATCTACATGGAGGAATGGGCGAAAATACCAGCAACAGTGTGTGAAAACCTTGTGAAGACTTACAGAAAACGTTTGACCTGTGTCATTGCCAACAAAGGGTATATAACAAAGTATTGAGAAACAGCCGTCCCATATAGATTGCAAAATAGTTGGGAAGAGATCTTTGACGTACCGATCCCATGGCATAGTGTTTATGAACTGACACGCAAAACGACACCGGATTCAAAAATTAGAATCTTTCAATATAAATTATTATATAAAATTCTTGCTACCAATAGAATGTTATTTATATGGGGGATACAATCTTCCCAGCTCTGCAGATTTTGCTGTGAAGATATAGAATCATTAGATCATTTGTTTTGGTTCTGTCCATTTGTAGCTTGTTTTTGGACACAGGTCCAGGAATGGCTAAAGGATTGCAATATTTACCTGGAACTAACCTTGCAGATAGCATTACTGGGTGATCTGAAAAGTCATAGTCAATCAATCAATAATATAATAATACTTTTAGCAAAAATGTTTATTTTTAATTCACAATCTGTAGAAGCAATGAGAATAGAAAGGTTCAGAACTTTTGTAAAACATCATAGTACGGTTGAAATATATATGGCAAATAGAAATCCTATATGGATGGTGTTAAGAGATAGATGGGAGGTATTGAATAGAGTTGAAGGATGGGACTAATAACAAATAACAACAAATAATAACAAAGATAGCTAATAATGTAAGCATACTGTGTCCATAATAAGTATATAGGTTGTATGTTGGGAGCTTTTGGGAAAGAGCACAGTTAGAAAGATATGGCATTTAGAAGCAAACCGGATGGACATCATGAAAATGATCGGAGAGGTTGAGAGTAGAAGAAGTTCAGGAGCAAAAAAATAAATATATATATATATATATATATATATATATATATAGATATAGAATTATTGTAAAATTAACTCTGTCCATAAGGTGTAGATAGTAAGTATAGACCGGAAGTAGAGGCCTGGGCGTTATTGTTCACTAATTTACTCCAAGTAGGGAAAGGATGGTGGGGTTGAAAAGTAATAAAGGGGAATATATATATAAAAAATAAAAATAAACATGGGGGATTGGAAGTGATGCAGACAATTACATTGATAGAAGATGCAATCTATCTGCAATATTAAGCTGATCCATCCCCCCATAAAAAAATAATAATAAAATAAAATAAAATAAAAATATTGAGAAACTTTTGTTATTGACCAAATACTTATTTTCCACCATAATTTGCAAATAAATTCATAAAAAATCCTACAATGTGATTTTCAATGACAACAATGCCATCACAAACATCATCTGAAAACACTACGAACAGAAGGGCATTTCTATTGTGAGTACGTAGATAATCGGTCACCAGGGATAGTGATTGGAAGCATGGAACTTTGCATAAAACAATATGCATTATGGAAAACAACAGAGTTGTCTTAACATGAAACCAAGCATTACAGAGGTACTATTTTGGCCAGAATACATATATTATGTCCCCCAAGCTTTGCAATACAGTATATACTCTGATATACTGATATTACAATGTATTTCCAATTTATTTAACAAAATTCCAGTGGCTTCTGTTGCTTATTTTTGTGCACAAGAGTTTGTTTTATAGCTGATTTTCACTAATGATATACATGTAAGCTACATAATGTTAATAGTAATAGCTAAGAATTTTAAACTTTTTTTTATCAAATACATTATAGCATTTAGAAATTGTCTTATTTAACATTGGATGTTTTTTGTAACATCAAAGTAATTCCGTTTTACTCTTATGAACCTGTATACTGAAAGACCAACAAACTAATAATCTAAACTAAACAAATATTAATTCTATAGGCCTACATCAAATGTAGTTGTGTATTAGCTCTGTTTTATAATTATTAATTTTTTTTATTAAAATGTATGCATATCAAATTAAGAATAAAACTGATCACACCATTAAGCTTGCATGTGCTTGTATGTGACGCTAGAGGTCGCACTTTGCATGAACAAAGAAAACAAAATTACATCCCTTTCTTCCTCTATAACTACATCACACCCTTTGCCTTCCATAGCCACTGTTCGGGTCGTACAAACCGACCACAAACTTGTGTAATGCTTTCTTCCCACTTCTCATTTTGGATTGGATGACCTTCTCCCACGTGTTTTGCCCGGTGATGGTTAAATATGCCCCCAGAGAGCAAATGTTTGTATTCAAGGTTTAGTATTCAGAATTGCTTCTTGAGACGTAGCCTACCTTAAAGAACCACCTGCCACAGGATGACATTGTTAATCCGAGGACTCATCTGTTGCATGTTGTTGCTTGCTATGGAGGTCCAAGGAACATACCGACTTCATGGAGGATACCATCCTCGGCAGCATCACGCAGACACCCGTATCCTGCCACCGCAAACGTTTCAGCGGAGCATTCAACAGCAACAACCATTTCAGAGTGCTCCACAAGGACAGCAACAAATTGGGAATGTTCAGCAACCAGCTCAGTTGTCTCAGAATCAGAATCAAAGAACTATTGATTTGGGAGGTTGGTTCATTTTCGTGCCATGTAGGCCCATAATATTCTGTAGAGAGCCTTTTATGCACGGGGTATGCTTGCTGGTCATTGTGCAAAGACATCGGTAGCTGATATTTTCTAATAGATTGCGCAGTTATTCACCTTTGTTAAGTTTTATTGCTGTTTATGACTTTACATTTAAGATTATAGTATCTTTAAATTTGAGATAATTTGGCATTGTTGTCCATGTATGACAAAAGTTCTGAAATGTAAGCGGGTATTGGCCAGTCCTTGGGTATTACAGAATAAAGGCAGATATACATTTGTTACTGTAAATATACTTTATCTTGCCATACAATTGCATACATTTTGAAATTCATTAGCTGGAAAATGTTAACAAAATAGTACACCAAAGGAAGGACTGGCGTCAATGTGTACTCAAACCTTTGGGCTAGGGCTATAGTAAATGCTATAGTAAATGCTATAGTAAATGTTCTGGCTATTATATCCATACAATAATGGATTTATGAAGCGCTTTTCCAGGAGTTCAGAACATTGACATTGTGCGAATTGAGAAACAACCTACTGTATGTTTGTAGCTTAGTAGCTGCAATAAGCATGAAGAAATACTGATGCATAATTTACTTAATTGCTAGCATACAGCCTCTCACTGATGCTTAAGGCTAATAACAGCAGGCTAATGTACTTCACATCATCACCTAGCCATAGGCATCTCATTGCGCTTGAGGCAAACAAAATAACCGTTGCTCTACTGCTTCTCCATCTTCCTCCCTCATGGTGGCCCAAAGTACATGGCAATAATTACAGGTTTAATGGCTATCACTACTATCACCAGCCGCCCAGGAAATGGCCACCAGTCATGTACCTCCGGCCCACAGCACCACCCCCTCCACCTGAACAGCCGGTCAGTACCCCAAGCGGCACCCCCACTCCCATCATCAGTGCTGGCACAGGTAGAATACTTTAGCTAAAAAACAAAAACCTCCTTTTGATTGAACCCCTCAAGGACTGATTGGTTGCTGGGTAGAAATCTGAATCGGAACCCCCCCCCTTATGTTGGTGTTTTTATGTGTTTTATTTTTCTTCCTTTTTACAATCTATTTGTCCTATGATTGAGCAGGTGCTATCATATAAGTCACTATTGGGTAGTTTTCATTTTTTCCTCCTCTGCATGTGAATCTTGAGAGAAGTAAACATGAGCCTTCTATTTGGTTTACCATGTTACATTGAAATTGGTTTGGTTGAATTGAACCTTATCTTTCCCTGTTTCCAAGTGTCCATGTTTACTTGCCTCGGAAAAGTTCAGAAACTTCTCTCACTAAGCTTTGCTTCCCCTTATATCTATTCATAGCTTTAGAAGTTTGTATTCATCCACTTTTTCTTTAGACTTTTTAAAACGTTTATTTTTACTGCTGTTTTTAGTATCATTGCTGTGTGTACTGAAGCATACACGGTTGCCCGCTTAAAAACTAACGCTCCCATCCAATCTATTTGAAATAGTAGCACCTAGTAAATTCACCAGTAAAACATGTCAAGCTGACTTGCTAAAACCCTCAGCAACCCAGACCTGAATGTGAAGCCAGAATGTGTTTGATACAGCAGTTCTCTGTCAAAGTGTGTAGAGCAAACCATTCCACCTTCGGTGGTAAAAACCAATGCCCCATCTTTTCCCTCACAGTAACCCACTGCAAAAGCCGGCCCCTAGATCTGGTGTTCATTATCGACAGTTCCCGTAGCGTGCGCCCCGCAGAATTCGAGAAGGTCAAAATATTCCTGGCTGACATGGTCGACACGCTCGAGGTTGGCTCGGACGCCACCCGTGTGGCCGTCGTGAACTACGCTAGCACAGTGAAGATCGAGTTCCTGCTCAAGACGCACTTCGACAAGCCGGGCCTGAAGGCAGCGCTGGCCCACATCGAATCTCTAGCGGCTGGCACCATGACTGGCCTGGCTATCAAGACGGCCATGGAGGAGACCTTCACCGAGGAGTCAGGCTCCCGGCTAGCCAACAAGAACATCGCCAAGGTGGCCATCATCGTGACGGACGGACGGCCCCAGGACACGGTGGAGGAGGTGGCCGCGGCAGCGAGGGCGGCGGGCATCGAGATCTACGCAGTGGGGGTGGACAGGGCGGACATGAAGTCCCTACGCCTCATGGCCAGTCTGCCACTGGACGAACACGTGTTCTATGTGGAGACCTACGGCGTCATCGAGAAGCTCACGTCCAAGTTCAGGGAAACCCTGTGTGGTAAGAGAGTGAGGCAATTTGTATATTTTTAAACTGTGTTGAAGCAGGGAGTCATGCTGAGAGCATGGTTTCATTCGCAGATTAACCCTGCATGAAAACATCAATAAACAACAATTACACTATACATACGCTACCGGTCAAAAGTTTTAGAACACAAACTCATTGAAGGGTTTTTCTTAATTTTTTCTATTTTCTACATTGTAGATTAATAGTGGAGACCTCAAAACTATGAAATAAGAGCTATGGAATCATGTAGTAACCAAAAAAGTGTTAAAAAAAATCTAAATATATTTCTGAGATTCTTCAAATAGCCACCCTTTGCCTTCATGACAGCTTTGCACACTCTTCGCATTCTCTCAACCAGCTTCACCTGGAATGCTTTTCCAACAGTCTTGAAGGAATTCCCACATATGCTGAGCACTTGTTGGCTGCTTTTCCTTCACTCTGCGTTCCGTTTCATCCCAAACCATCCCAATTGGGTTGAGGTCGGGTGATTGTGGAGGCCAGGTCATCTGATACAGCGCTCCATCACTCTCGTTCTTGGTCAAATAGCCCTTACACAGCCTGGAGGTGTGTCATTGTCCTGTTGAAAAACAAATGATAGTCCCACTAAGCCCAAACCAGATGGGACAGTGTACTGCTGCAGAATGCTGTTGTAGCCATGCTGGTTAAATGTTCCTTGAATTCAAAATAAATCACAGACAGTGTCACAAGAAAAGCACCCCCACACCATAACACCTCCACCTCCATGCTTTACGGTGGGAAATACACATGCGGAGATAATCTGTTCACCCACACCGCATCTCACAAAGACACGGCGGTTGGAACCAGACCAAAGGACACATTTCCACCGGTCTAATGTCCATTGCTCGTGTTTCTTGGCCCAAGCAAGTCTCTTCTTCTCCTTGGTGTCCTTTAGTAGTGGTTTCTTTGCAGCAATTCGACAATGAAGGCCTGATTCACACAGTCTCCTCTGAACAGTTGATGTTGAGATGTGTCTGTTACTTGAACTCTGTGAGGCATTTATTTGGGCTGCAATTTCTGAGGCTGGTAACTCTAATGAACTTATCCTGCAGCAGAGGTATCTCTGGGTCTTCCATTCCTGTGGCGGTCCTCATGAGAGACAATTTCGTCATAGCGCTTGATGGTTTTTGCGACTGCATTTGAAGAAACGTTCAAAGTTCTTGAAATGTTCCATATTGACTGACCTTCATGTTTTAAAGTAATGATGGACTGTCGTTTCTCTTTGCTTATTTGAACTGTTCTTGCCATAATATGGACTTGGTCTTTTACCAAATAGGGCTATCTTCTGTATACCCCCCCCCCCCCCCCCCCCCCACACACACACACACACACCTTATCACAAGACAACTGATTGAGAAGGAAATAAATTACACAAATTAACTTTTAAGAAGGCACACCTGTTAATTGAAATGCATCCCAGGTGACTACCTCATGAAGCTGGTTGAGAGAATGCCAAGAGTGTGCAAAGCTGTCATCAAAGCAAAGGGTGGCTATTTGAAGAATCTCAAATATAAAATATATTTTGATTTGTTAAAAACACTTTTTTGGTTACTACATGATTCCATGTGTTATTTCATGGTGTTGATGTTTTCACTATTATTCTACAATGTAGAAAATAGTAAAAATAAAGAAAAACCCTTCAATGAGTAGGTGTTCTAAAACTTTTGACAGGTAGTGTATCTATATACACATAAATTACACAATACATGAAAAGCAAACAGAAAACACGAAAAGCAAAACCCAATCATATGAAACAAACACATTCTTCAGTAAAAAGGCTCTCTAACATCCGCCTGAATTGCCCTAGAGGCACCAACTCCACCTACTTTAAGGACTTTTGGAGATCAAAAGATTAAGTCATGTTATGTACAATTCCTTAAGGGCCACAGTCCAGCTGATTTGGGTTTCTTCCAGTCCTTGACACCTACTTGATCAACTAATGTTATTGATCACCCAGGAAGTACACATATCTGGTTTCTCAGATTGAAACTAGTTGTTGGTTAAAATTCAAGAATGGAAACCAGCAGATGCAGCCCTCGAGAACTGGTGTTGTGCACCTGTACCCAAAAAACATTGATTAATGTGTTAGGTATGCAAATCATAGAATAATAATTATGTCAACATTTAATGTGAAACAGCAATCTTCGATTAGATTCCGTATGATAACCCTCAATTGACCAATTAGAAAGTAATTGATCATTTACATTAATCCAAACCTAATTATTCCTGTTCACGTTGACGATGTTGTCAGACTAAGCCAATCAGCTGTGAGGATGTTTGTTTACAGGTGTGGATGCCTGTGCCTTGGGACACGATTGTGACCACATTTGTGTCAAGAACAACAACTCGTACACCTGCAAGTGTCGAGAAGGCTATACACTGAATGCGGACAAGAAAACATGTTCACGTAAGGACCACAAGCCTCTATCGGGAATGTAGGTATCACTTTGTTTTATAGGTACCTATATAAGGACTTCATAATACATTCATACCCATGAATAACCCATTCACAAGCAATAATTTCTTAAATGCTCATGCCAACAGCCACAGGTAGATTTTTCTGTTATGTCACCGGTATATTGCTTATATTGCAGATTTCAACTTGCGATTGTTGACATAAGTATATTATGAAATGCTTATGTACTGCTTATGAATGTGTTATGTATGAGCTATACATGCATTATGAAGTCCTTATGTAGGTACCCTTCAAATAAAGTGTTACCTGAATGTTTTTTGTGTGTAGTGGACGTTTCTACTGTATTAATTGTGTAATAGAGAAAGGAGAGGGCAAAGAATACAAGCCTTGTATTTAGGGGCAAAGGTTAATATTAATGTGAAAGATTTTGTCTTATGTTTACACCTGGCAGCAGGTTCTTTGCAAAACCAAAATGGATCAGGTTTGAACGGTTGGTGCACCTTTATTCCAGAATTCATGGGCTAGAAAACCTAAACTCTGCTGTCATGGTATGCATGCCCAGTGCTTGAAGTAGATTGAAATAGGTGCCGGTGCTTAACTTGGGTGCTGGTACTGTTTTATATTTAGGTGCCGGAACTTTATATTTTTAAGCCAATATTCAACAAGAGTTGCAGGAACTAATGCAGGAGAACATTTGAGGTGCATGGAACTCAGTTTCTGTGTGTTCCTGCCGAAGTCAAGCACTGTGCATGCCACTATCCAATGCAGTTATGCCATCTTTGCTAGCTAACATTGCTGTCCCCCCCTTCACCTTACGGCTAATACATGGTGAGTTTGTTGTGACGTGTGGGCATGGCTTATTTAGTATTCGCACCCATGGAGCTGTAGAGTAGCCCGGGCAGCAGGGCCGGAGCTCTCGACCTGATCTTGGTCATCGACGGCTCCAAGAGCGTCCGCCTTGACAACTTTGAGCTGGTGAAGCGTTTCGTGGTGCATCTGGTGGACTTGCTCCAAGTCAGCCCTGGCACTGTACAGGTCGGCCTGATCCAGTAATCCAGCAGAGTCCGGACCGAGTTCACCTTAAACCAGCACCGGACCGCCAAAGCTTTGAAGGAGGCGGTGAGAGGTGGACAGAAGCATCTCGCAGGGAGTGGGCGCCAGGCCAAAGTCAGCCAATGTGCTCCGGGACAGTCAAAATACGACATCTCTGAGCACTCCAGGAACCTCAATGAGCAGGGTGAGACCCCTTTTTCTTATACAGTATAATGTAACACCATTTTATTTTTTACTTTTTACCCCTTTTTCTCCCCAATTTCGTGATATCCAATTGGTAGTTACAGTCTTGTCCCAATGCTGCAACTCCCGTATGGACTCGGGAGAGGCGAAGGTCAAGAGACATGCGTCTTCCAAAACACGACCCTGCCAAGCCGCACCGCTTCTTGACACACTGCCCGCTTAACCCGGAAGCCAGCCGCACCACTTCTTGACACACTGCCCGCTTAACCCGGAAGCCAGCCGCACCAATGTGTCGGAGGAAACACTGTACAACTGGCGACCGTGTCAGCGTGCATGCGCCTGGCCCGCCACAGGAGTCGCTAGAGCGCGATGGGACAAGGACATCCCGGCCGGCCAAACCCTCCCCTAACCCGGATGACGCTGGGTCAATTGTGCGTCTCCTCATGGGTCTCCCGGTCATGGTCGGCTGCGACACACCCCGGGATCGAACCCGGATCTGTAGTGACACCTCATTCACTGCAGTGCCTTGGACTGCTGTGCCACTCGGGAGGCCCTAACACCATTTTATTGAGTGTAACATTTCAGAAGATGTAAAATGGTGACTAAAAACTCTAAAATGACTCCAGATATCTTCCCCTCCAAATGTAAAGGCAGTATTTCCCCCCCGAGTGTATTATATGAATGCATGTTTCCTCATACCATAGCTCTGTAATCCTTAGACGTCCCATCCCATGTATCATATACCCTACCTCAGTTTTGGGTTTGTCTAAGTGACCCTTGTCATGTCCTGTCTTCCTCTCTTTCCCCAGGTGTGGAGATATACAAACGGAGGAGAGAGAGCTCCAGGAGATAGCCTCTGAGCCCCACAGCCAGCATTACTTTCACTCGGCCAACTTTTGCACCATCGACTCCATAGCTCACACCTTAAAGAGCAAGTTGTGCCACAGTAAGGAAGAAGGAAATGGATGAGCATAGGGAGGTGCAGCATGAGCTAGCTGCTAGCGGAACAGGAGTTAGACACAGGAAAAGGACACAAAGGAGCTCGGCCGTCTGACTTGTTTTTGGCCTCATGCGTTTGTTGGACTGATGTCTGGGTCTCTCAAATTGCATGCCGTCACCTATGGTTTGCTTTTAATCTTCGGGAGACCTTGAAAAATCTAAGTATATGAACTACTACATGATGGGTTTGTGTTATGATGAACAAGTGCTTGAATGAATGGCTGTTGTTAACCTTTTGCAAAAACCAATTGATTTACCACTGACTTCCCCTCAATGATCGAAAAAGCTTCACCTGATCTTTGACTAACCACTTGACTGTATGCAATGTCTGTATTTGAAGTATTGACATTAAGTCAACTAGTTGTCACACTTTACATTAAGTTGCTCCAGAACCACGTAGTAACAGGTAATTATAATATTTGGTAGCACTGTGCAATTTGTAACTACACAAGTAGTTTCCTTGTAACCAATAGGGAAAAGGGTTTTAATAGATTCCTAGGTGTGGACGAAGTGTCACGTTATTACACTTTACGTTTCTATGTAGCCTATCAACTTGTCAGCTATAACTTGTTTAATGGTAACTAGAGTTACTTAATGTACATTTCTATATCAAAATGTACAATTTATTCATGATTGACTTCTGCCATTGATGTCTCTTTCAGAGGACGCAAACGAGATGAGTGGGAATAAGCTGAGTGAAGACGCGTGCATGTGTGAGGCTCAGATTGCCTTCCAGATGAAGATGCAGTCCACCATACAGGAGCTGACCAGCAAACATATCCTTTTACCCCACCATTGTTTTTTAATGGGTGGTATTTATTCATATAGCAATTTCACAAGATCTCAAAGCCACTACCACCAGCTGCAATGTTGTACATACAGTTTGCCTACCAGTGGGGTAGCACAGTTCTGTGTGGATTTAGTTTTTTTCCATGGGGCATGGAGAAAACTAGAGAAAAATTTGCAATTTTATAGCTAATCACATGCTATTTTACACATTCTGCCATGAGGCTGACAGACGGGACAATCTCAATATTTGTCTTAATATTAACACAATTTGAAATATATATTTTGATAGACCATCTAAATGCAACTAACTGGATTTATGTCAACTCCCTAAGGCATTTCATTTTTACAATTATTGTCCAACAAGTGTTTGAAGGCCTTGATTGTTTATTCTAACATTAGATTATTTAAAAAATGTAATACAAATCTACAAACTTATTTTTGTTTGGTCTTGTAGCACTATTAAATGCTCCAGGGCTAATGATCCAGGGCATTTTGGCATGTTTTTCTAGATTTAGAACTTAAAACAACATTTGTGTGCTACGCCAGTGACGCCTACATATATTGCTCTACTTTCAACTGTTACCCTTTTCTCTTTCCGATTCCCGAGACAGTAAAGAACTATGACACTTTAAGATTGCTCATATGCATATACTGTATATGTATTGAAGAAGACAAATGTTTCCTTGACTGTTATGTCCACTAGATGATTTATCGAGGATAGTGACCCAGGTTGGACGAAAGCGTTGATTCTAAAGAAGAGGACACAGCAAAGAGACCATTTAGAGCTCACCCAGTTAACCTCAATCTAAAATGGCTGTATAGTTTTCCTGTTTTAGCAACGTTCATTATTAACAACAGTCCATTTTGGAGTTATTGTATGTACTGTATAACCTCCTTCAATCTATGTGTTTTACATATAAGACATTTTGTTTACCATTGAATGACTTGGCCAGTAATGTTCCATTTGCTCACAATGGAGTATCCCCCATTTCATCCCATTTAAGCTAAGAACAAAGACCAAAGTAGATTTTTTTTGCACAATAATTTGCTCCCCATGGTAGCACCTTTCCAGTTAACAATATTCGATATGTATTTTATCTTCCACCTATAATGAAAGTGCAGAGGAAGCAACAGGCTACATCACTGACAAGTGATTTGTTTCCTTATTGTGGCGTGTGCGAGATAAATGAAAGACATGACACAGGAAATGTAATTTATGTCAATGCGTAATTATTGAATATTTATATATATATAACTTGTATTTACATAAGAAGACTAGCTTGTAATATTCATGTGGCTTACGGTTTGTGTTGATGAGGAAAAAGGAATTGTGCATTTTTGTGTAGTGTGTGTGTATATATCAAAATACAGTGCCTTCGGAAAGTTTTCAGACCCCTTGACTTTTTCCACATTTTGTTACATTACAGCCTTATTCTAAAATGGATTAAATAAAACATTTTCCTCCGCAATCTACCCACAATACCCCATAATGACAAAGTGAAAACAGGTTTTTACAAATTTTAGCAAATGTATTAAAAGTAAAAAACAGAAATACCTTATTTACATAAGTATTCAGACACTTTGCTATGAGACTCGAAAGTGAGCTCAGGTGCATCCTGTTTCCATTGATCATCCTTGAGATGTTTCTACAACTTGATTGGAGTCCACTTGTGGTAAATTCAATTGATTGGATATGATTTGGAAAGGCACACACTTGTCTATATAAGGTCCCACAGTTGAAAATGCATGTCAGAGCAAAAACCAAGCCATGAGGTCGAAGGAATTGTCCATAGAGCTCCAAGACAGGATTAAGTCGAGGCACAGATCTAGGGAAAAGTACCAAAAAATTTCTGCAGCATTGAAGGTCCCCAAGAACACAGTGGCCTCTATCATTCTTAAATGGAAGAAGTTTGGAACCATCAAGACTCTTCCTAGAGCTGGCCGCCTGGCCGAACTGAGCAATTGGGGGAGAAGGGCCTTGGTCAGGGAGGTGACCAAGAACCCAATGGTCACTCTGACAGAGCTCCAGAGTTCCTCTGTAGAGATGGGAGATCCTTCCAGAAGGACAGCCATCTCTGCAGCACACCACCAATCAGGCCTTTATGGTAGAGTAGCCAGACGGAAGCCACTCCTCAGCAAAGGGCACATGACAGCCCGCTTGGAGTTTGCCAAAAGGCACCTAAAGACTCTCAGACCATGAGAAACAAGATTCTCTGGTCTGATGAAAATGAGATTGAACTCTTTCTACAGAGTACAGAGAGATCCTTGATGAAACCCTGCTCCAGATTGCTCAGGACCTCAGACTGGGGCGAAGGTTCACCTTCCAACAGGACAACGACCCTAAGCACACAGCCAAGACAACGCAGGAGTAGCTACGGGACAACTCTCTGAATGTCCTTGAGTGGCTCATCCAGAGCCCGGACTTGAACCCAATCGAACATCTCTGGAAAGACCTGAAAATAGGTGTGCAGCAACGCTCCCCATCCAACCTGACAGAGCTTAAGAGAATCTGCAGAGAAGAATGGGACAAACTCCCCAAATACTGGTGTGGCAAACTTGTAGTGTCATTCCCAAGAAGACTCCAGGCTGTAATCACTGCCAAAGGTACTTCAACAAAGTACTGAGTAAAGGGTCTGAATACTTATGTAAATGTGGTATTTCAGTTTTATATTTGTAATAAATTAGCAAGATTTTCTAAAAACCTGTTTTTGCTTTGTCATTATGGGGTATTGTGTGTAGATTTAATCCATTTTAGAATAAAGCTGTAACGTAACAACATTTTGAAAAAGTCAAGGGGTCTGAATACTTTCCAAATGCATAGGGTTCTATTTTTGATATTTGTACAAATGTATACATCAAATACATATTTTGAACAAATGTAATATTGACATGAATGTTTCTGTCTGTATTTTTGTTTCGCACAGTATACATTTGAAAAGGTCTTAAAGACTTAAGCGTTACATGGATATAAATAAGTCAAGCACAATATAAGAAATATACCTTTGCTGGCTGTCTCCAAGTCCATCAGCTACCAAACAATTTGTATTCAGAATAATTTGCCTTAAAAAAGGAGAGACTGAAAAATGATTGTGAACTTCAACTGGAATGATAACAGACTATAGCTGGAGGATAAATAAATAACATAATGTTGCCAATGTAGACAGGCATGCCACATTTCCCAGACTGAGCCATAGATATTCTAATAGATGGCTCTGGCATTTCCCATTTCAGAAGTGTTTACATAAATTAATGAGATATTCTCTCTTTTGAGATAATAATCTTGGAATAAACAGACAAATACAGTGGGGGAAAAAAGTATTTAGTCAGCCACCAATTGTGCAAGCTCTCCCACTTAAAAAGATGAGAGAGGCCTGTAATTTTCATCATAGGTACACGTCAACTATGACAGACAAAATGAGGAAAAAAAATCCATAAAATCACATTGTAGGATTTTTTATGAATTTATTTGCAAATTATGGTGGAAAATAAGTATTTGGTCAATAACAAACGTTTCTCAATACTTTGTTATATACCCTTTGTTGGCAATGACACAGGTCAAACGTTTTCTGTAAGCCTTCACAAGGTTTTCACACACTGTTGCTGGTATTTTGGCCCATTCCTCCATGCAGATCTCCTCTAGAGCAGTGATGTTTTGGGGCTGTCGCCGGGCAACACGGACTTTCAACTCCCTCCAAAGATTTTCTATGGGGTTGAGATCTGGAGACTGGCTAGGCCACTCCAGGACCTTGAAATGCTTCTTACGAAGCCACTCCTTCGTTGCCCGGCGGTGTGTTTGGGATCATTGTCATGCTGAAAGACCCAGCCACGTTTCATCTTCAATGCCCTTGCTGATGGAAGGAGGTTTTCACTCAAAATCTCACGATACATGGCCCCATTCATTCTTTCCTTTACACGGATCAGTCGTCCTGGTCCCTTTGCAGAAAAACAGCCCCAAAGCATGATGTTTCCACCCCCATGCTTCACAGTAGGTATGGTGTTCTTTGGATGTAACTCAGCATTCTTTGTCCTCCAAACACGACGAGTTGAGTTTTCACCAAAACGTTCTATTTTGGTTTCATCTGACCATATGACATTCTCCCAATCCTCTTCTGGATCATCCAAATGCACTCTAGCAAACTTCAGACGGGCCTGGACATGTACTGGCTTAAGCAGGGGGACACGTCTGGCACTGCAGGATTTGAGTCCCTGGCGGCGTAGTGTGTTACTGATGGTAGGCTTTGTTACTTTGGTCCCAGCTCTCTGCAGGTCATTCACTAGGTCCCCCCGTGTGGTTCTGGGATTTTTGCTCACCGTTCTTGTGATCATTTTGACCCCAAGGGGTGAGATCTTGCGTGGAGCCCCAGATCGAAGGAGATTATCAGTGGTCTTGTATGTCTTCCATTTCCTAATAATTGCTCCCACATTTGATTTCTTCAAACCAAGCTGCTTACCTATTGCAGATTCAGTCTTCCCAGCCTGGTGCAGGTCTACAATTTTGTTTCTGGTGTCCTTTGACAGCTCTTTGGTCTTGGCCATAGTGGAGTTTGGAGTGTGACTGTTTGAGGTTGTGGACAGTCTTTTATACTGATAACAAGTTCAAACAGGTGCCATTAATACAGGTAACGAGTGGAGGACAGAGGAGCGTCTTAAAGAAGAAGTTACAGGTCTGTGAGAGCCAGAAATCTTGCTTGTTTGTAGGCGACGAAATACTTATTTTCCACCATAATTTGCAAATAAATTCATAAAAAATCCTACAATGTGATTTTCTGGAAAAAATTTTCTCAATTTGTCTGTCATAGTTGACGTGTACCTATGATGAAAATGACAGGCCTCTCTCATCTTTTTAAGTGGGAGAACTTGCACAATTGGTGGCTGACTATAATTTTTTTTCCCCACTGTATATATTTACTCACTCTGCCCAAGTTTCTAAAGAGAAGCAGAAGGGAGTGCAACCAACAAGGATTACAACACAATACATAAATCATTATGGACTACAATTACCACAATGTTGAGAGCTGTAGCCTCGTTGAAGCGCTTTCCAGTGTGTGGTTACCAGGGATACCTATGAAAGCGACGTGGAAGTGATGCAATAAAGCTAGCTTGTGAATTGAGTTTATGGAGGAAAGCATACTTTTCAGATGAAAAAAATACTTCCAGAAGGACAACCATCTCTGCAGCACGCCACCAATAAGGTCTTTATGGTACAGTGGCCAGATTGAAGCCACTCCTCAGTTAAAGGCACATGACAGCCTGCTTGAAGTTGCCAAAGGGCACGTAAAGGACTATCAGACCATGAGAAACAAGATTCTCTGGTCTGATGAAACCGAGATTGAACTCTTTGGCCTGAATGCCAAGGGTCACATCTGGAGGAAACCTGGCACCATCCCTACGGTGCCAGGTTGAGGAAAAAGTCAAGCGGACTGAATACTTTCAAAATGCACTGTATATTGGCAAACCGTGCCAATATATCCTCCAAACACCGCGAGGGCATTATTACTTTTATACAACGGGTTACCAACATATTCAAATAATGATTTACATATTTTAATTGAAAACATTATTTTGATGAATTTATTCATATTACAGTACCAGTCAAAAGTTTGGACACACCAAATCATTCAAGGGTTTTTCTATATTTTGACAACTGATGCTTAAAGATAGTGAGGGAGATAAGTGTCTCCATCTTCAGAGATTTTTGCAGTTCGTTCCAGTCATTGGCAGCAGAGAACTGGAAGGAATGGCGACCAAAGGAGGTGTTGGCTTTGGGGATGACCAGTGAGATATACCTGCTGGAACCCATACTACGGGTGGGTGTTGCTGTGGTGACCAATGATCTAAGATAAGGCGGGGATTTGCATAGAAGTGATTTATAGATGACCTGGAGCCAGTGGGTTTGGCGATGAATATGTAGTGAGGGCCAGCCAATGAGAGCGTACATGTCACAATGGTGGGTAGTATATGGGGCTTTGGTGACAAAACGAATGGCACTGTGATAGGCTACATCCAATTTGCTGAGTAGAGTGTTGGAAGCTATTTTGTAAATGACATCGCCGAAGTCCAGGATCGGTAGGATAGTCCGTTTTACGAGGGCATGTTTGGCAGCATGAGTGAAGGAGGCTTTGTTGTGAAATAGGAAGCCGATTCTAGATTTAACTTTGGATTGGAGATGCTTAATGTGAGTCTGGAAGGAGAGTTTACGGTCTAACGAGACACCTAGGTATTTGTATTTGTCCACATATTCTAAGTCAGATCCGCCGAGAGTAG